CCAGCCTGCAGTAACTTCCTCTGTATGAGAGCGATCATACTTTGCGACCGTCTTGCACTTCGAGTGTGGAGTGGATACGTATTGATCTGCGATCTCTCAATCGCTCGTATTTAAATCGAGCTGTAAGACGGTCGCAAAGTGTAACCGCAGCCGAATAATCGGTGCTAACTTAGTTGGGGGGGGCACGCGGCGGCGCGGCAGTCTGCTCACCTGGGCTCTCTCGAGCGAGACAGTGTAAACTCGAACATTCCAGCTTTTCACGCATGTCAAGTGACTGCCCCCACCCCCACCCCCTAGGCTGGCTACACTCCCCCTGGCCCACGGATTTCCGAACATGCCAGGCGAGCAGACTGCCGCGCCGCCGCGTGGCCCCCCAACTAAGTTAGCACCGAATAATCTTGGGACTTGGATTTTTTTATTTGCTCTTATGCATTTTTTAGCGTTTTGGGAGTTGTAAAGGGGTGGAGGTGGGTTGGATAAGCTCTCCTTCAAATTTCCGCGTTTTGCAGAGCGAACCTTTCCTCGCTGCGAGAAGCCCGGTCACCACTTTCAGAAGTGGAGCTAGGGCCCTCGTAGCGAAAGATTCGCACTCCGAAACGCGGAAAGTCGCTTTATCCCACTGAGCCACCTCGTTTCAATGTGTGTAGCATCTACACTTTGTTCTTCCTATTGGTGCGCTCAATTTTAATACTTGGAGTCTGTTTAAGGATGTTCCGATCATCCGCTACTCGTTTTGTGTCGTTGTTCAATGTAAACAAGTACTCATCATTGTCGCGCGCATGTTTCTGCTCCGGTGGCCGCAAGAACTATGCAGGAAGAAAATGGAAACAATCGTGAGTTGCGACTCCTTTCATTGATGACAGTTTGGTTGTCACTTCATGTGGACATTGAAAATGAAAAGTAAAGTAAAACAGTTGTCGCTTTGCGGACAATTCCCACTTGCAACGATATGTTTATCAGATCTCCATACAATCTTGTATCACTGGCCGATGTCAGACTTTGCGATTGGAGCGATTTTGCACCAATTGCAGGAGCGACGGATCGCTCAAGCGATGCGAGCGACGGGAGATTTACCCGAGCGGCGCCGTGTGTATCGGTATTCGGCGGGGTAAATCTCCCGTCGCTCGCATCGCTCAAGCGATCCGTCGCTCCTGCAATTGGTGCAAAATCGCTCCAATCGCAAAGTCTGACATCGGCCATTGGTTAGTGCCCGTGAACTCACCATGCGACGTCGCTGCACGGTGACCTCTTGCTACATGCCTGCTTTTTCCGATATTATTAACTGATCCTTCTTCGCCCTCAATTAATAATTTGTGAACAAAACAGGTGAAAGTTGAGAATTTCCTCACGGTTGGTTAGCGTAGCTGCGATTTACGGAAATAATGGGTCGTAGAACTTTCACACTGCATCAAGAACGAGCGCATAGGATCGCGATCTATAACAGTTTCGTACCCTACAAACATAATTGATCCCAGATGATAGTAGAACTTTAACTGCAAAATATGTATTCTGTTCAGAGGCTTCTTTTTCAGTGCACGTCTATTGTACCAAAGCAAGAAACGCGGTATTCTTGAAAATGACATACTTATCGGTGATTTTGGAGAGAAATATCTTAACAAAATGGACCGCGAAACACTCAAGGAGTACGATACGGTAAGCAATTCGCAGCTTTCTGTTGAACAGAGAGTGTTTACGATAATTATGCTGCCAAGTTCTTTTCACAGAGTTGTTTGGTGAAACATTTATTTCAGTGGCTTAAAGTTTCGACTAAACCGTCGTCTTCAGAGGGCTAAACGTGTTTTAGGTGTTTGATTTCGACATCGTGTCAGAAACCTCTCGAGAAGATCAGGTTCCGGATTCAATCCACCCCAAGGGGTTAGGGGACGAAAATCCCTTTAAATTTATTTGTTTTGAACGATATAGTTTCTTCATTTTCAGTGCATGTTTACTTTGACCTACATACATACATTAAATGTAGGCCCTTTATCAGGACAATCCCAGTTGGGAAGACAGAAAATTAAAGGGATTTTCGTCCCCCAACCTCTTGGGGAAGATTGAATCTTGCCCCAGAAGAGTGGGAGAAATTAACTTACCGACGGTTCCACCCTTTGAGCAGAGAGGTCCGCTGCCACACAAGAGCATTGGTCAATTGCAACTAACCTAAGGAATACCATATTGCCCCCCTTAGAGTTGTTGAGGCGCTTGGGGGTGTAGAACGTATATCTAACACCTTGAAAGCATGTTCAGGCCTCTGAAGACGACGATTCAGTCGAAACGTTAGGCCATTTAATAAAAGTTCCACCGAACAACCTCGTAAGGCACAAGAAATTCAACAAACTACAATTAACATGCCGAGGGTACTGTAAGAGAGAAGTTGGAGAATTCTTCTCCTGGAATAATTTTTCTTCTCAGGTTGAGTTTTTCAGTTGATCAACGGCGACATCATGGAGTGGGACTTGTACTATTACATGAGTGGTAAGGAAGAGCCTCCGGCCGACGTGGCTAATTCTGGTGCTTTCCAGCTCCTTAAAAAATTTGTAGATGAGAAGGAGTTTGCAAACAGTGTAAACTCCGGCAAACAATAGAGTATGTTGTGTTTTTTCTGTCTTTGTCTTTCTTTGTAGATGTTGGCTGTACAGAGAGTGGGATGTAAGGGGTTAGGAAGCGCACGGGATCGGTCGGGGGACAATTGGGGAGAGCTTTGTATTTGAGAAGGGGTGGTGGATTGAGGGTTGGTTGGGATTGGTGGTGGTATCTCCGTTTTAATGTTCTGGTTCGAGTGGTTCTTAAGACTCTTATTCTGAAAGCGAATCAGCGAGGCGTTTAAGGGACGGGTATTTGTACTTGAATTGGGCATACGAAATGGAAAGTGCAAAATTGTTCCCTGTTTTTTCACTGGTGGTTTCATAGGTAAGAAACGAGGGAGCGGATTGAGGCTTCCCACGGGGGAGTAGAACTTGCCAACAAGCGGGTGGGCTCGCTGGAGACAGAGCTCGCAAAGCACCGGAGTGGGAGGTGGGGACGGGGAGAAAAACCGAGCGGTCCTTCCCAGGTGCCTCGAGCCCTGTCAATGGCCGCGGGCGGCGAAAAAGCACATCAGGAGGGCGCGAAAATCGTCCGCCACGAGTAGTACGACAGCGAACGGAGAAATTGGAGAAACGTGGTAAGCGGAAACGGGGAGCAGCTCCGCGCCGCGACTGGTCCCACGGTCGCTGGCCGCGAAGTGCAGGTCTAAGCACCTCACTTGGATGGAGTGTATCGGACGGGACAAATCGAACACAGTAGGCGGGTGACAATCGCACTGAGGGCGTCCGCTTTTCCGTGTGGTCGCCTCTTGTTGGTGCCTGTCTGCTTATTTTTTGTTTTTGGGGGTGTGGCCCTCCGGGCTTTGTCTATCGATTTCTCATCCATTGTGCGGTGGGTGGGTGGGGTACCATCGCGCGTTTCGTCCTGGGGTCTGGCACGCGGTTTGCCTTGCGCCGGCTGACTCTTGCCCTGCCGCACGAAGGGAGGCCGAAGCGTTCTGTAAGTCGATGGATATAATACTCATTTTTCGTCCGAACCTCCACGGTCACGGTCGCCCCGGCGTCCTTCGTTCAGTGGATACGTTAATTTCAATGTTTGCCCTATAGCGGTTTTGGGCGCAGCCAAGCGGACATGCTGCCGGATACTATGGCCCGGGTTTCCCTCACTCGGAGGTAAATGGGTTCTACCTTGTTTGTAGATAAGTCCCGTGCAGGGCTACGCGGAGTAATGCAGCCATTAGGACGCAGATGAGTTAGGGCGTAACGAGTGCAGCGCGGAATGAGTGATGTAGACACTCACGTCGTCCATGCACACCGCATGACGCTGCGATCGTCTGTGTTGTCTCCTTCACGCTGTATTCGTGCGACTAGCCTCCTGTCATGAGCTTTCGCAGCCAAACCGGTGTGACTGGAGAAGCCAGTATTCGCGATGAGGGTGTCCGGCACTAATAGTGCAACAGACTATGGACAAATAGGAAATCGCGCGTGAATGCATAGTGTAGTCATGATTTCGAAGACTGTATACTTCTACGGGATCCCGGCCCTGTTGTCCTGCAGCGAACACGTTGACCTACTTGAGGAAGGAAAATCTTCGCTCTTGCATGACGAAACATTCTCGGTGTTGAGAAGAATGGACTGCTCCATTGAGCGTTGGTGTGAAAATACGAATTTAACACAAACTGCGATCTGGCGCCGTTCGTACGGTGAGTAATACTGCTATAAATCAGATTATTAGCTGCAGTTTAGCAGACTGCTGTTCAAAGAATAGTCAGGATCCTGATCGTTTTTCGCTCGAGAACTTATTTACAACCTGCTTATCAGTTGCTACTGTTCTTTTAGAGCGCTGTGATCCCAATGCATTTTCTTCGTAGTGGTTCTTCTGTGAAGTTCTTTGTTCCATCTGATAACCTGTGCCTGTACCCTGCAATTTTTAAATATTTTCGAATACGGAGCGATGTTTACGGTATTTGTGACATGAGGGTGAGGTCTTCGGCGCGCCCAATTGTCACATAATGCGGACACGCTTGAGTAGCGCTTGCATTTGCTGCAACTTCATTGAAAGGGCACATAAACCTAAGCAGACACAACGATTGACCTACCTAGAAGACTAGAAGGGAAGGGTTATATGTTTCGCTTTCGCTTTTGAACCCTCCAAGTAGGTTTTTCCCGCAAATGGCATTACTGTAGGCGGCACAAACTGTTTCCTCACATGCCCCCTTATTGGATACATCCACTTTTTGATCACAAGATAATATCTGATTGATGATAACATTACTATTTAATTTTTTGCTTATCGCTGTTCCGTAAGTGTCGCTTATCACTCAGTTCGAGCACCTGTCATCATCTGTGATGCTGATGTATGCATTTTTGAAGTTGTCCGGATGCTTGGAATTCTTATGTAGGTCATTGGTCAGTTAGATATTCAATAATATTCCTTTAACCGTTTTTCGCTACGATATGTGAGCATGCCAGTAATGAAATGGATTCCGTCCCGAACAGATCGGTCCCAAAACCCGAGCTTTATTAACGAATCCGCAAGAAAAATAGTGAAATACGGCAAAAATTCGTTTTGAACTGATTCTGTTCGAACGCCCATACAAGGTTGATGTGCGACATATACAGACAAAGGAGTTTGTTAAAATAATTTTGTGTATTTTATGCTTTCTCCTAAAGAAGATTGACCTTGATGAGGGTCTCTTCTTTAAGTCCCTTGAATCTTCAGAATTGTAAGATCCATAAAAGACTTAAAGACACAGGAAGCGAAGAAAAAAGACACGTTTGAAAAGCCGTTCCAACAAAGGCTTTTGACCGCTACTGTGATCCACGCCCTATTTCGCCTGATCGGTGCTCTGCCTGTAAGGTGCTCCCAGAAGGAACTGGAAATCCGTAGTTTTTGAATATTAGAATTTTTCTATTCGTTTTCCGCTCTACTTCTTTCATGTGATATGGTGGTTGTTAAGTTACCAATGCCACCAATTTATTGGCTAAAGAGCTGGAGAAATGGCAGAGGGGGCGAATGAAGCAAACTTGGTCCCAACCGATCTTCAAGGATTTTTGAACGGGTAGGGGAAACTCAGATGAATCAGATGTTAGGGTAACTTCTTCACACAGACTGGGTAATGTGAGGACAAAAACCCTTCGGAATAAAATAAATCAATCAAATGTGGACACCCACTCGTTCCGTGGGAGCCTTCATTGGTTAGTGTTCCTCCCATGTAATTGACGAAGTCAATTTTTTTCGAATAAGCCATATACTCCGCATCCATCCAGAATCATATGATCTTGTTTCTTTCGAATGCTTATTTTGCCTAACTGCGAGCGGAGGTAGTGGAGAGGCAAATGGTGACATTTACCATCTGCGCAGTGTGGGCATCAATCGCGCCAACTCAAAGCGCTTTACATTCCTGAAGAGTTCCTGATGGGATTGATAGCATGAATCCTTCTGGGAGGGGAACATAACTGACATCGGCTAGCGGTCGCAGGCCATTGTGTTGGTCAGCTTGCGTTCGAAAGCCACTGAAACTGAATTGATGTGGGATGTATGGCGCGTTCTGAAAGGGATTGATCGAAACCCGATGCACCTTCCTCATGTTTTGTACGGCTAGAGCAATGGTTTTTGATAGCCGACCTGTGTCCAAATCCGCTGTTCATTGCTTTTTTTTTTTTTTTTTTTTTTTTTCTTTTTTTTTTTTTTTTATCTCTACAGAAAGTTCTTCATCATCTTACTTGTATGAAGGCGAAGAACCAATTTTGCCGGTTCAATCTGATTCGAACCCTTCATGTCATTGTGCCATAAAGCCCCTTGTCTATACATGTATGCGTGTGGTCAACACAAGCAACTTTTGTGAGGGTGATGATGTGCATTAGAAAGGACCTTCGAAGTGTTCATCATACGAAACACATGTGCCATCCATGCCCATCTTACCGTAATCCTCGCTTCAAGGCAGAGTCAACTGTGCGTTGCGCAGGTTCTTAAAAATCCACGGCCCCCTCCATGTGAAGGGGAGGTGAGTCCCGATACGAGCCCTCTGGCACAATTAGCCTTGGGAGTTCTCAACCCCGTACGACCTCTTTCTCCTCAACCCGACCATTGCCCTCACCATCCATGACGGTTTTATAGTACTTCTTAATTTGCAGAATGCCAGCCACTTCCCCGTTTTGATTAGCGACTCCCCCAAAAAAAACCTGCTTGCCGACCCCTCCTCCCTCGTTAAGAATTTGCACATCGTCGGTTGAATTGTTTCAAGGAAAGTGTAGGATTAGAATGTGTTAAGCTTTATTCGAAGCGGGCGACCTCACTCAACTTCTCATGTTTGTTCAGGAGCCTATGTGTTTCCGTAGCTGGCCCGTGGCACCATTTAAGCTGTGGGCATAGAACTCCTGCTTGTTAGTCTTTGATCAGGTCTCATTTCGACTGCATTCTTCCATAAAGCTCGAATTTTATCTATTTACCTTATTTGTCTACGAGTTATGTGGCTTCACAGTCGCATCTACGACGCCCTTCGCAGTGTTTTACCATGAAAATTATTCCTTAAAAGGCCTTCAGGTAAACAAGCGTCTCCTACCGTACGCACTTCTGCATAGGATCACTCGGAGATCAGATGTTCTTCTTGGCTGGGGTGGTGCCACTTTTGGTGGTGATTCAGGCGGTAACAGTACAGAACGCATCGTTCTCTGGAGCTCAAGGCATAATTTACTCACCCGGCTATCCTGATGACTACAGTAACCAACTCGATCAGTACTACACTATCACGGTGAGTCCATAATACAACTGCTAAACGTTAGCTTATTAGGAAAACTAATGTTTTGTTCTTTCTGTTATCATCATGAACTACGGGAGATACGGTACCGGTTTTTGGTGGAGAGTCCCAGACCTCCGTGCACCTTGTTCCCCAGCCCTGTCCATCCCCACCTGCATAGCCAGACCCTCCTGCGCCGTACTTTGTGGCTTCATTTCGAAGGACATTGCATGTTAGGCGGCCGTACCTTCAGGTTTTTTGCTATGGCGTTTATGGGGGAAGAATGATGTTCTGGCTCGTACCGGGCTATCGGATTAGCACGTTGCAACGAAGCTCGGCTTGGTCACTGCCCGTCCAGAGCGCGAAATCAACGGGAAAAAAGGACTCTTTTCTCGGGTTTGGTAGGTCGTTTTCTCCTGGAGCTTTCCTGAAGAAGTGTACTTTATACCACACTCTGCTTTCGCTCAAAAAGGCGCGATGTTTCTGCAAAGCCTATTTGAGTGATTTTCACGGCACCTAATCCGTTTAGTGGGGCCATAAGCATGAACAGTAGGCTACTACTTGACCGCACTGCGGGAAAAGCATGTGGGAAATCATACTGGAATATCATTCCTTCAGTTATGGTGCGCTGTGTAAGTCGCTAGAGGTTGCGTGTCGGATTTCTGAGCACAAGGAGAAGAAGGAGCGATAGAAATCATACAGATCAAGTGCACGGGTGTACAGTCAACGAATGAAAATGACAATAAGGCTCAGGCTTATCATCGCCATTCTTTTAGCGGTTTCCTGCAGCAGTGATGACGCAAATCGAATTCTGTTGCTCTTGCGTGCCTTTTCAATGACTTCATACGTTCCAGGATTTTGTCGCGTATGTGTCTTTAAGTTCATGGGATCAGGAGCACTGTGCATCGATGTCTCTTGTTTCGGCACAAATGGACACCGGCTCAGCTGCTAAAAACCCATCTGCCTCATTTGTTTACTATTATATGAAAATCGTTCGATCTAAACCAGTGCAACTTTGTGGTTCTTACAGGTCGATCCTGGTTATTTCGTCCACCTAACACTCTACGACTTCGAAACTGAGCCCTGTTGCGATAAGCTCTACATCTGGGATGGTGCGGACACTTCAACAGGTACAATCGCTAAGTGAGTGATTGTGAAAAGGGGGCGGAGCTTTCGCTATTGCTCCGTTTCACCCACCCTATAGCAATTTTTCCTAAAACACAGGATAGGAATTTCTCCCGCCTCGCCGGCCTCCACCGCTCGCTCTCTGCAGAGCCATGGCAGTTTGTCGACGGGGCTTTTGCGGGGTTTTAATTTTTGCTAAGACTTGGGACTTAAGGATTTGTCAGTTTTTATTTTCAGCGTTTCCGGAGAAGCAACAGGGATGACGTTTAGCTCATCAGGGCCTATAATGACTCTGCTGTTCAACACCGACATCACTGGGCAAGCACGAGGATTCGCCATCCACTATGAGAGTGTCCGAAGTAAGAGCTCTTGGCTTTTATAGTTCTCTCAGATTGATCGCAGACTTTTGGCACGCTTCGCGACCGCTCGCGTCTTGTGCAGTCCCTTATTTGAATTGGAAGTCTTAAACTCACTTCGTTTATTCGATTTTTTATTATTATTTAGCTTTCTGTTCAATTAGATTTTCTTCAGTAGACACTCAATATTCGGAACCGAGCACATGTCAGTCAGGACTGTTCACTTCTGGACTAGGGTTTGTGACATCGCCCAACTGGCCATCGAATTATCCCAACGACATCACCTGTAACTACTTGATGACGATGCCCAGAGGAAGGTATGGCAAGGCTGTGGATCGTGTTTGAAATGTGATAACTTAGACCGGTTTTTAAGCAGAATGGATTTCATTGAATTGAATGCGCACTGGAATGATCTCTAGGTTCCTCTCCCATTGCCCGCGCCCAGGCTCTGATGTGGATTACGGTGCGCAATATCTTGGGTGACTTGTTGCACGGGTTGGTGAGGCAACAACACATGACATTGGGGGGGGACGACCTATTGGACGCACGTTTGTCGCGCGCGGCGAGCAACAGTTGTGCTAGCTGACCTAACGGTGGATGCCAAGGTGGGAACTGAGCTTCTTCTGCAAGGCTATCAGAAACGTAGTCAGAAGAGCATGTAGTTTGGGCAAAGCCTTCAGCATGCGCCCGAAACCAGCTAATTTTGTGTAAATTCGGGCGTCAGCCGACGCGCAAACCCAGTTCTGTGCTTTCCGAGCAGTACCCTCTGTTTCAGAAAATCAGAACCGCGTCGAGTGCAGACCACACACCACAAGTGACGACGGCCTCCACAAAATGTGTTTTCTGCCAATGAAATGATTAGCCTGTTGCAGTTGTATTCTATCAGTTGTCACTAATTACAACTATCATTTACCAACTATCAGCTATCACTATGAATCACTAACCAGATTTACTTGGAGGCCGTCGTCACTTGTGGTGTGTGGTCTGCACTCGACGCGCTTCTGGTTTCTGAAACAGGGTACCTCTTGTCAACAGCGTCCCTTATTTATATGTTCATATCAATACTATGACCGCATATCCATTGTTCTATGCTAGTACAGAGCTGA